AAATGGCAGGCATAAGTTCCACTTCAGGGAGAATGAGGGAACGACTGTGCGGTACCTGCTGAAGTCCAAGTTTGGCAGGAATCTAGGGCATATGTCCTTGCCAGTGACACAAAGACAGACAGTGAGAAATCACCCTTGGGGAGATGGCCATGCCATATCCCCTCTCCACCATTCTCCTCTTGGGATTGTGGGCATGCATGCATATATGCCTGGCATGAGTTCCAGGATTCAAACCACAGTTGACTACATGGGAATACAGTGATGTTTTTATGTCATCTGCTGGTCTCTAGCCCCAGGCTTTTTAAAAAATACAAGGTTTGCTTTTTTTAGGGGAGAATTTTGTCATAGGGTATGTGCGCTTGCCGGAGGGACAGAGAGAGACAGAAAGGGAGAAATCACCCCCCAGGGGGATGGCCATGCTGCAATCCCTTCTCCATTCTTCTCGCTGGATTTTGGGTGCATACATGCTCGGCATGTGTTTTAACCCACTGGATCTGGGACTTGAATTGCAGTCAACTACATGGGAGTCCAGCAATGTAACCATTACTCTGTCTACTGGTCTTCCAAAAATACAAGTTTTGCTTTCATGGGAATGTGATGTCAGGAAGGTAATACATACTATGTTCATCTCTTGTTATAAAGGTTATTTCTGACATCTCATCTCCTTTCAGCATAATTAAAGTATGGATTTGTTATTGCCTTGCTTAAAAAAATTAAACCTTTGTTGGGACCAGCAGTTGGTGTAATGACTATGTTTCTGGACTCCTATAGCCAACTGCAGTTCAAGTCCTGGACCCAGTGGCTTAAACTCATGCTGGTCGCGTATGCGTGTGTGCCCAAGATCCCGAGAGGAGAATGGAGGAGAAGGGATTGCGGTGTGGCCATCCCCCTTGGGGGGGTGATTTCTTGCTTTCTCTCTCTCTGTCCTCTCTTGTCTTTCTGGCGAGCAGACGTGCCCTACAGCAAAAACCTCTCCAAAAAAAACTGGAAAAAAAATTAAACCTTTTTCACCAGAAGTTTTTTCTGAAATATCTAGACCAGTGCTGTCTAGTAGACATAAAGCAAGTCACATATATGTAATTAAAAATTTTCTGGCAGCCACATTTAAAAAATGAAATGAATTTTTAAAATTTCACTCAGTTCAGTATATTAAAATGATCATTTCTGCATGTTCTCTATATGAAATAGCATTGATGAGCTACTTTGCGTTCTTTCTTCCTTGAGACCCAGTTCATCTGTTGCACCCTCAGCCCCAGGCCAGCCGTGTTTCAGCCGCTCGTTAGCCCAGGTAGCCTGCAGGGTTGTGCGCATTGGAGAGTCCTGTGTTGAAATGGGAGTAGTGTGACCTTTGGTGCCAAATCTATTGGGGTATGAATTCCTGCTTTGCTACTTGCCAACTGTGTGGTTTTGGGATAGTCTCTTAGCTTTTCTGAGCTTTGTTTTCCCAATAGGTAATATAATATAAAATATAAATATAAAAATTTAAAACTTGACATAGTAGGCTACTAATAAGTGGTGGATATTATTGTTATTTTTTTTAATGGCCAGAAGGTATATGCACTTGCCAGAGAAAGATACTGAGAGAGAGAAAGAGAGAAAAAGCATCGCGAATAGAGGCGTGGCCATGCCCAGTTTGTTTCTCGTTTCTCGGTCTTGTCGGGATTTGGGGCGTGCACGTACATGTGCCCAGTGTCTTTTTTCAAACTGTGCAGCTGACCATGTGGGATCCAGCTGCCTTAACCACCTCATCACTGGCGACCCTAGAATGGGATTTTAAATTTTACAAAAGCAAGGCTTCTCACATTCTTCTTCTTTTTTTTTAATGTCCCATAATACTTTGCCCCAAATAGGATGGGGGTGGGAGTGGGAATTAAACTTTATGAGCTCTGTTATACAGTGTTGATGCCTTCATATGTTACTTGGTACCAGATTTCCTTGTTTGTTTTTCAAATTTATACAAGAAACCAATGCTTAAAATATACTGAAGTCCCTCAGCAAATCAGAGTCAGTGTTATCACATAAGGACTTGGGTTTTTGGTATAACTAGGGCTTACAGGCAAATAATCAGAAGGGCTTATCTCTCTGGCCTCCAGGATTTTATGTCATAAGACTCCAAGTTAAAAATAGGGCTCCTGGGCCAGCTGTGGTGGCGCAGTGGCATGTGACGCTCTGTGATGCTGAGCGCTCTGAAGACTGGGGTTTGGGTCCCTTGTCACACTGCACATGCCGGACGTGCGCTCGCGGGCCTGCGATTCTGGCTGGCTGCAGGACTGCAGGGGGATCGCGGTGAGACCTGAGACCTTGTTCAGGATGCCTGTCTTAGTTCCAGTGATGTATCTCTCTGGTGTTTAAGTATTTTAGATTTTTTTTGCCTTTTAGAAAAGTTAAATTATGCTTTTAATTTTACTAATTGAGATAATTTTTGTTGTTATTTGATCCTGTATTAATAACATAAGTGTTAATCTGCAACATAGAAATTATAACAGATAAGTTCCAAACAATTTCTAAAAATAGAGTATAAATTTATCTTATATTACTGTATTATGGTAGTTATATTATTATTTTCCATAGCATGCATTTTAGCCTATAGAATACTTTAATATCAATGATTAAAAACCACATCTTGTACGGATAGTGCATTAATAAGCTTTGTCACTTAGCAAAAAGTTCAATAGTAGTGACTGTGTATTTATTTATCTGGAGATCTAGAATGTTCCTTCTTTGTGACACAGACTTTTAAAAAAATCTCTACAGGCCAGTGACATATCAGGCTTATCGGGAATGTGTACTGGAGACCACAGTTCATACCAGCGGCTGGAATAAGGTATTAACCAAATTAACTGTTTTCTTTATATGGTCTGAGTGTGTTAAGGGTAAGGCATAGAAGGAATTGCTAGCACCATGCAGCAGAAGCCTGTTAGAGCTCTTTATGTAATACAGAAACCTAACTGGGCCAGGTGGGTATTTGGGTAATGCTACAAGATTCTGCTCTGCCTAAAAATATGTGCCCCTCAGTACGCTGCCCGACCTGTCATAGGGGTCCTTCCTGTCCCTCTGTCCAGAATTTCTCATCATTCCTTCATTTCTCTGTACTAAACATGACCTTGACCTCTGATGGTTATTTTGTGTGTGAATATGTCTTGCGGAAAAAATAAGTGATTAATTTGGGAGGGGACCTCTTCTCATCCTATGAATCACAGCATTTGTTTTATGGTTTGCACAGTACCTCATGTCACATCTCATTTGCTCTTCACAACCATCCTTTGCAGAAGGCAGAATGGATTTTATTAGCTTTTGTTTTGTTATTTATTGGGTTGTAGAACAAGTGATGACGTATTTTTCTATGTTTTTCTATTCAAAAATGCTTTATGACTTTTCCGACAACCCAATCATTAGTGAGATCAGGTGACTAATCAGAAAACAAAAATGGAATGTCTTGCCCAGGACCCCTTGACTAGTAAATACTGGAACCAAAACTGGAGCCAAGATCTTCTTCATATTCACATCTGTTCCCCACAGTACCGTATTAATTGAACCATTATCTTAGACTGTATTACCTGCTTAGCCTTGACAAGGCAGTCTGAGGGGATGGAATAGAGGATGGCTCAGGTCAGTAAAAGGAAGCGGTATGGCCCGGTGTGACCTAGTTCTGGGGATGGGAAAATTCGGCACAATTGTTTTTTACAAATAGCTACCTTGACTCAGAGTTGTTTGAGTGGATCAGACTGTGGGGCTTTATGTACTGACTTGATCTGTATTAGGTATGTGGTTAGACTTATTTCAGATCTCAGCCTCGCTACAGGCTAGACGTTAGACGTGTGTCTCTGGCAGGTTAATTAAGCTCTCTACCTCTAAATTTTGCCATCAGCTAATTGGAGTTGTAAGTTTTACTAGAATGAAATGAAATGACATATACTAGATGTTCATTTAATGCCTTGCCTGGCACCATACTTAGTGAACAGCAGCTAGTACAAGAACCCTAACACAGCGAGCCTATTCCCACATGGTCACTATGATGGAGTTTTTAGTAAGTTACACATTTATTAGAATATCGGTTTGCCTTATTTTTTATTTTGGAATAAAAGAAAATATTCTCCTATGAATATTCGAAATAAACTTTATGAATAAAAAATAAGCTTGGTTATGATTCTTTCTAAGACAGCCTCTCTGCTGTGATCCTCCCTCCTGGGGCTGTATGTGAACGCCACCACACCCAGCTCTTGTTAGACAGAGTCCTGCTGTGTGGCCCAGGCAGAACTCGAGCTTGCAAACCCCCTGCCTCAGACTCCAAGTCACTGTGGTTACAGGTGCACCCTGCTGTACCTGACCTTCAGGTTGGACCAGGACTCAAACCTGGGCCTCCCAAGTGGTTCCAACCTGCAGAACATAGCAGTTTGGCAGCACACAGCGCCACAGCTGGGTCACATGTTTCTTAGTATAACAAGCATCAAGTAATCAGGTGCCTGAACCTACTGCGCTCTGTCCAAATTTATATTCTCTTCCATCACTCCTATCTAGTGATTGTTAGAATTCACTTTTGTATGCCCCACCCCCAGTGCCCATCATAGAGTTACCCTGAAACGTAAACCCCAGTCTTCACCTTTTCTTTTTACTCTTCCTTTCTTTCCCCATTCCCTGCTTGATTTCAGTTCCTCATTTTGATCAGGAGACCAGCTGTGGCTTGAATACCTCTTATAAATGAGACATGCAATTAGAATATTACTTGCTTCTTGGTATGATGCCTAGGGCACATAATATATCCTTACCTTGTAGTTGTTCTTAGTAATTGCATTAACAACAAAGTAAAATTGAGATAAATAAAGAGAATATTACTTGCTCTGCTAAATCTAGTGTTACTCTTCCTTCTAAGTCCTCCAGAGGAGAAAAGAACCTAGCTTATGATAACTGAAACTTCCATTCCCATCTACCCCAATAAAATCACATTGGCTAATTTGGAGCAGTTCGCTCATACTTTACATTTAACATGATACTTACAGAATTCTGATATAAGGTCGCGTATATGAATGTGATGATCTACCTGGCAAGTGAGTGAGCTCAAATCAATGCCTGTCAGAGAAGGGGAAGAAGTTGTTCACAGAGCTTGCCAGTCTGGGACAAACTGTAAAGGCATCAATTTACAAAGAGATTTTAAAGGCATTTTGGTAGATTGCTCTTTAAATATATCCCCCCCCCCCAGCCCCAAGAAAAAGCTGGTCACAAATCTATAGCAATGGTATGGTCTTCCTGCTAAAAAGTACATGGATGGGCCAGCAGCTGGTGTGGTGGTGAGGGTGCTGTACTCCTATGTGGCCTACTGTACAATTCAGGTCTTGGACCTGGCAGCTTGGAAAATTATGCTGGGCGTATGTGCATGTGTGTCCAAAGTCCTTAGGAGATTGAGGATAAGGTATTGTGGCATGGCCACCGTCCCTGGGGGTGTTTTCTCATTCTATTCCACTCCAGCAAGTACACATGCCCTATATCAAATTTTTAAAAAGGAAAAAAAAATCACCACCTACTCAGTATCAAATTTCCCTAATTGCCTCATAAATGTATATTTAAAAAAATTTACTACAGGGTACATGCACTCATTGGAGAGAGACAGAAAGAGGGAAAGAAGGGACTGGACACTCACACATGGCTGACCATAGTTCAAGTCCTGGACCTGGTGCCTTGCTTTCTCACTCTCCCTCTTTCTCTCTGTCTCTGTGTTTCTCTCTGTCAAATTAAAAATAAATAAATGAGTAAATAAAAAATTTAAAAAAAAAGAGGGAAGGAAAAAGCACCCTCCTGGGACGAAAGGCTATACTATAATCTCTTCTTTATTCTCGGGACTTTGAGCACACATATATGCCTGGCGTGTTTTTCAGCCCCTGGGTCTGAGTTTAGGACTTGAACTGTACAGTTGGCCATATGGGATCCAACTACCTTAATCACCACCCCTAAATGCATTCTTTTCTTTTCTTTTCTTTTCTTTTCTTTTTTTTTTAAGGTTTTTGCCATAGGGTGCATTGCTTGCTGGAGAGAGACAAAGGAAAAATGAGAAATCACCCCCAGGGGGGTCGCCATCCCTTAATACCACAGCCTCTTTTCCTCTCGTCCTCCTCTTAGGCCTTAGGGCATATACTTGCACACCTGGCATAATTTTCAAGCCGCTGTGTCTGGCACTTGACCCGTGGTCAGCCATGTAGGATACAGCACCTTCACAACTACGTCACCTGATGGCCTCCATAAATGTGTTCTTTAAAACTGATTTGTTTGAATCAGGATCCCTACAAGACCTATGCATTCCATTTGGTTGGTATATTTCTTGTCTTTTTAAAAATTGAAATATAATTCCCATACCCTAAAATTTAGCCTTCTGAAATGTGTGATCCAAAGGGTTTTAGTGTTCACAGAGGGGTGCAGCCATTCACCACTGTCTAATTCCAGGGTGTTTTCCTTGTGCTTGTTAGTGGCCACATCCCATTTCCTGCTCCTGCCAGCCCCAGCAATAATTACTCTTGTCTATGCTGGGCATTTTATATACGTGGAATAAGGTAATATATGTGTTAAGTCTTTTTTATTTTTATTTATCATTTAAAAAAATTTTGCCAGGAGGTGCATGCCCTGGCTAGAGATAAATAGGGAGAGAGAAAAGGCACCTCCCCCCGCCATGGAGAATGATCACATCATAGTCCCTCCTCTGTTTCTCTATCTCATCAGGATTTGGGGTGCTCATGTGCACACACTCGACTTGTTCCTCGGGCTGCCAGGTCTGGGACTCGGCTGTGAAGATCCGACTGCCTTAACCACCACGCCACAGAGTTGGCCTTTAAGTCTCTTTCAGTATTGTAGACTTCTCTCTCTTTTTACTCCTTTGTTTTTCTTGTAAGTTATTTGTCCTGTAAAATTTCCTACCTTCTGGATTTTATTGAAGTCATGTAACATGCTCTTCTGTTTTGTATTTCCTTTCTATTGGTAGGTAGATCTGGAGGACTGGTCAGATTCAGGTTTGATCTTCCTGGCAGGAACGCTTCATAGATGATTCTATTTCCTATTGGGTCACATATAATGTCTGAGTGTTTCTTAAATTGTATTTTGAAGCAGGTAGGTCAAGACAGTCAAACTAACCAGCGAATTAAGTACAGGTAAAATGTTAGGGATGGGACATTTATCAGACTAGTTGACACACAGGGCCAACCAGTGGCATGGTTGTTAAAGCAGGGGGATCCCATAGCTGACTGTGCAGTGTAAGCCCTGGACCCTGTGGCCTAAGAAACACACTGGGCGCATGTGCGTGTGTGCTCGCAGTCCTGAGAGGAGGGTGAAGTGGAGGAAAAGGGATTGCTGTGTGATCATTCACCATGGAGGGTCTTTCTCATTTTCTGTCCCTCTGTCTCTCTCCAGGGTACACATGTGCCCTTTACTCCCCCCCCCAAAAAAAAAAGAAAAAAAAAGAAAACAAAGAATTATTAAGCCGGAAGGGCTAAGTAGTAGATAGGTGGGCCAAATTATGGGATTATAATCACAAATATTTATTGTACTAGAAGGTACATTTACAAATGCTTAAATTAGCATGCATTCATTTTACCAGGCAATCCTGTCCCCCTGTCTCTCTCTCTGTGTGAGTGAGTGTGTTTTGCTGGGGGTGCATCCACTCCCCAGAGACAGAGGAAGAGGGAGAAAGTATCCCCACATGGGGAATGGTCACATCGCAGGCCCTTCTCTCTCCCTCCTTTAAGGACTTTGGGCTTGCCTACACACATGCCCAGCATATTTCTCAAGCTGCTGTTCTGGGACTCTGACCACACAGTTGGTAATGTGGGATCTGGGTGCCTTAGCCCCCAGGCCATGGAGCTAGCCCAAGCCCGTATATTTTTTAATAAAAGGGTAACATTATTAAAGTAAGTCTAACCTATTAGAAAAAGCAACCGCAAGTGCATAGGAGAAAATGTCAGGGAATGAATTAAATAAGTCTGTGGATAAAGGGTAAGCCAGTGGAAGTAATCCTTTCTGATGGTCAAAATATCTTAGCATTCCATTGCAAAAACTACTGAAGAAAAAATAATTTCTGTGCTATGTGAAGATTATTATTATCTAGTAAGGAAATTACTTAGAGAATGAATCAAAGGATAAGACTGCTTACTTTTTAGACCTAGAAATGAGAATAATACAACCTTCTGGAAATAAATATTTGGAAATCCAGTTTTGTTTTGACATGTAAAAAGTACATGGGAGGGGCTGGCAGGTGGCATGGTGGTTAAAGGTGTTGGACTTCCACACGGCTGACTATGGTTCGAGTCCTAGACCTGGTGGCTTGCTTTCTCATTTTTCCCTTTCTCTCTCTCTTTCTCTGGTCAAATTAAAAAATAATAATAAAAACAAATGGAATAAAATGAGTAAATAAATAAATATATATTTTTTAATGTACATGGGAGAGGCGCCAGTAGGGCATGGTGGTTGGGGCACTGGACTCACATATGGCTGACTACTGTTCTAGTCCTGGACCTGGCGGGTTGCTTTCTCAATTTCTCTTTCTCTGGTGAGCGCACATGCCCTATAGCAAGTTAATAATAATAAAAAATGCAATTAAATAAATAATTCTTTAAAAAAAGTAAAAGGTGGGACCAGCAGATGGCATAGTGGTTATGTTGCTAGACTTTCACGTAGTCAACCACGGTTCAAGTTCTGGACCTGGTGCTTTTTCACTTTCCTTCTCTTATTGTCTCTCTCTAATCAACTTCAAAACATAAAATAAAAATAAAATAAAATAATGATAATGAATAAAATTAAATTAAGTAATTCTTTAAAAAAAAAAGGCACTGGACCTGAAAGTCATCATACAGTATGTCAGATACTAATTACCTACCATCATCTATCAAACAGATAAGCCTCATGTATAGTATAGTAGTCATTTAATAGCTGTATGAGGGATGACATAGTATGTATCACCAAGGAAAGTATTAGCAACCAAATAGGAAATGTTAGCCTTACAAAGTGAGAATTTTGAGGGACCAGTAGATGGTGTAATAGTTACGCTGGACTCCCACGTAGTCAACTGTGGTTTGAGACCCAGACCCAGCACACGTGCCAGGCATGTGTGTGAGCATGGCCAAAATCCTGAGAGGAGAATGGAGGAGAAGGGATTGTGCGGCCATCCCTCTCGGGAGTGATTTCTCGCTTTCTGTCTGTCTCTTCGGTGAGTGCACACACCCTATAGCAAAAATCTCTCTTTAAAAAAAAAAGTGAGGATTTTGCACTTTGGATACTGTATTCAAGAAAGATATACTATAATTCAAGGGACCAGCAATTAGCGTAATGGCTATGTCGCTGGACTCCCATGTGGTTGACCGCGATTCGCGTCCCGGACCTGGTGGCTTAAACCTCACACCAGATACGTGTGCGTCCAAGATCCCGAGAAGAGAATGGAGAAGGGATTGCGGCGTTGCCATCCCCCCTTGGGGGTGATTTCTCGCTTTCTGTCTCTCTCTGTCTGTCTGGCGAGCGCATGTGCCCTATATCAAAAACTTCTCCAAAAAAAAAGAAAGATGTATTATAATTTGAATACAGAAGATCCAGAAGAAGATAATTAAATGATCAAAGGCGTGGAGCAGTTGCCACCTGAGAACTAGAAGAATAGATTTGTAGACATCCACCTGAAAGTATTGTGAATGAGAGCGGGAATATGATTAAAAACTGAAATTAAGTTGGGGGTCAAAGAAGATTATGTAATCATCCCTAGATTATTATTTCTTTTTTAGAATTATTTTATTTAACTTTATTTACTTATTTATTTTAATTGGACCAGAGAGGGACAGAGTGTGTGAGAGAGAGAGGGAAAGTGAAAAAGCAAGCCGCCAGGTCTGGGATTCACTTAAATCACGTTGGCCATGTGGGGATCCAGCCCCCTTAACCACCATGCCACCTGCCGGCCCCATTGCTAGATTGTTGTATAGTATAACTTGGATGTCTGGTTTTTGAAACATGAAAGAAATTTGGAACAAATAAAAGGAAGTATTATTTTATATAGCAAGTATGCAATGTTTGCAATTCATTTCCTCAAGAAGTGATAGAGATTAACCATGAATAGCTTTAAAATGTTATGAATTATTATGGCAAATTAGAATGTTTTGAGCTACAGGGTATCCCAGGCCTTTGAAGCCAATGTGAATTAGCAAGCCTGATTCACACACCATCGTTACCTGATCCTACCCAAGGCACAACGTTGGAGCTAGATGAACCAATGGGGCTAGTTTTGTTTGTTTGTGTCTTTTTAATAGTATGATGAGCTTTTCTTACAGTGGAAAAAGCCTAATGTTGTTTTCTTTATAGTCCTATACCACTCCATTAGTTTTTAGAAGAGATTCTCCATGAATTTGGGGCTGGAGTTCTTTTGGATTGTTGACAAATGGAGATGTGTTTGTTGCATTCTTTCTTTCAGACATCGATATAGATGCTCCAGGGACCCTTTTACTTAAAAACCAAAGGATGTTCAGATGAAATGTAATCTCATTGTTTTGTTTGCCCTCTTCTGCAGAAATATTCTGTCATCCTTCAGTTATTTCCTTGGCAATCCAGTAACAAGGCACTGGAATTGGTTTCATTTCCTTTGGCATTCTTCTAGTCATATATAGACCTCTTAATGTTTTAGATGCAAGAAAGATGTTTAGCTGAATCATCTTTTCAGTTTTTTTTCTTTATTTCATTTCATTTTTGCTAGAGGGGGTGTGCACTTGCCAGAGAGACAAACCCCCTCCCTGGGATATGGTCATGCTGCAAGCTCTTATTCTTCATTTTTCCATCCCATCACAATACTGGGCACACAGGCAACCAGTGTGCTTTTCCAGCCTCAGAGCTGAGTTTTGAATTGTGATCAGCCGCATGGGGTCCAACTTTCTATGCACTGTACTTAACCACTGTGCCATGGGGCTGGCCCTGCAATTTATTTTTTAAAGGAAGGCAAGGGATTCTAGTTAGTTTCTGTTGTAAATTTTGATGACTTTTAAATAGTGAGCTACAAGATTATTGGGTTATATATTGTAATGCCTCCTTTATATTTGAATTTTGATGACTTTTTCTTTTCTTTTTTTTTTAAAGAGAGATTTTTGCTGTAGGGTGCGTGCGCTCACCAGAGATACGGAGGGTTAGAAAGCAAGAAATAATCCCCTGGGGGGGGGATGATGGCCACACTACAGTCCCTTCTTCTCCATTCTCCTCTTGGGATACCTGGCGTGAGTTTCAAGCTGCCAGGTCCAAGACTCAAACCCTGGTCAACTACGTGGGAGCCCAATGATGTAACCATTCCGTCCCTATTTTTGATGACTCTTTATTAGATCCCTTATCATTTAAAAAAGTTCTTATTTCAAATAGAAAATAAAAAGTACCTAGTATAAAATGCAAAAAAACACAGAAAGATATGCATTGAAAAATAAGTTTTCTTTTATCCTTAGTGTTAGTCACCCATTTTCCCTCTTTTAAGCAACCACTGCTACCAGTTTTCTTTATATTTTTCCAGAGATATGCAAGATTGTATAAATCTATGTGTGTATGTGTTTTGTTTCTTAAAATAAGTGGTACAGTATTGTACACATTCCCCTATGTCTTGCTTTTTTTTCACTTTAAGTGTATCTTGGTGATTGGATAGTGAACAATCTAACCCCTTTTTTTAAGAGCGATGTATTTCACTGAATGGCCAAATTTATTTAATTAGTACTTGTTGAGTTTTTTTATAGTCTTTCACTGTAAATAATGCTTCAGTGAATTTCCTTATATATCTATGTTGTTTCTCTCTCTCTCTCTCTCACACACACACACACACACACAGAGTTATTTTCATATAATAACTTTCTACCATCTATTGTATAAAATCTACATGGAATATTCAGCAAATTTCTAATAGCCCTTTATTATAATTAAAGCAAAATGTTATAATGATGTATGTGATACTAATTTCTAGTAATTGAATATATAAAGTGCATTATAAGTATTTCAGTTTTGGTTTTTATTCTCCTATCTTTGCATTAAAGATCTTGGTGCCTCTGGTTTTGCTACAACATGTGCTTTTGGAGTTGACGAGGCGTGGTCAAGAACCCCTGAGTGCACTGCTCCAGTTTGGCGTGACTTATCTGGAGGACTATGCAGCAGAGTACATCATTCAGCAGGGTGGCTGGGTATGAACCATTTCATATTTGCTTTCAGTCTTCCAAAAAAGTTAAGCCCTTTATGTGTAACAGTATTGAGAATGCATGGTGTAGGTTGCTTGATTGGATGATGGTCCGTGGAAAATCGTTCAAATAGTTTAAGCTACTCACATTTTGATACGTGGTACTTGTGTGTGTGTGTGCATATGCACACACATGCATCTGGTGTTTTAGACAGGATCTTGCTGTGTCACAGTCTTCCTGCCTCAGCTTCCTGAGTAGCTGGTACTACTGCAAGCACATGCTATATCAAATACCTGGCATTTTAGGCTGAGCCAGGAATCAAACATGGGACTCCCAGTTAGCCTCAGCCTACAAGCAGCAGCATTCATATGCTACTGCCACTGGGCAATATGAGATACTTATGAAGAGTTCTTAATTGTGACACATGTTATACTAACAAGAAGTTGTAAATAGGATATGAAGAATAATAATATGAATATTTACTATCACTGCCCATGAAAAGAGCAGAGCTCACTTTTGAATCTCCTTATATTCCCTTTCTAGATTTCTGCATGCTCTTATCTACCGTACCAGGGCAACTTCTGAATTTTTTTTAAAATAATTATTTATTTGATTTTACTTATTTATTCATTTATTTTAATTTAACCAGATAGAGACACACAGAGAGAGAGAGAGGGTGGGAAGTGAGAAAGCAAGGACTTGAACCGTGGTCGGTCATATGGGAGTCCAACACCTCAACCACCATGCCACCAATTAGCCCCTGAATATTTTTATTGTAGTTTAACTACAGATGTATACATCCCTAGACAATATATTATTTTTGTGTTTTGAACTGTATGTAAATAGTATCACATGAAGGGACTTCAAAAAATCATGGAAAACTGAATTTGAAGTACAAATTAATTTTGGTATAAAAATTTGAAATCCAAGCGTAGTATTGTGTTTTTTTGTTTTGTTTTGCTATAGGTCACATATGCTTACTGGAGGGAGAGAGAGTGGGGATTGCCATGCCACAATCCCTTCTCCTCCATTTTTCTCTCAGGATTTTGAGCTCACACACATGTGCATGGTACGTTTCTTAAGCTGCTTGGTCCGAGTCTTGAACTGCTCATTCTGCCATGTGGGATACAGCCACCTTAACCACTACGCCACTAGCTGCCCCATATAGGTTTTAAATATGTATATTTTCCATGAACTTTTTTTTTTTTTTTGGAGAGATTTTCACTGTAGGGCGCGTGCGCTCGCCAGACAGACAGAGAGAGACATAGAGACAGAAAGCGAGAAATCACCCCCCAGGGG